CCCCCATGCAGCCCTCGCACATCCCCCATGCAGCCCTCGCACATCCCCCATGCAGCCCTCACACATCCCCCATGCAGCCCTCACACATCCCCCATGCAGCCCTCACACATCCCCCATGCAGCCCTCACACATCCCCCATGCAGCCCTCACACATCCCCCATGCAGCCCTCACACATCCCCCATGCAGCCCTCACACATCCCCCATGCAGCCCTCACACATCCAGATTCCCACTTCTAGAGAATTGTTATATCGCTGTATTAGAGACCCGTGCTGCTCGCCGTACTGTGTGAACTCTGCACGTATCAAGGTGAACCGCACAGCCCTCACAAAGTTCTTACACATCCCCCCACGCAGCCCCCACAAAGATTGGTTAGAAATTGTTCAGTAAGTGAACCAATCAGATCCCACCTTTTATCCACATGACTTCATGCGTGCCGCAGCCTCCAGAGCTCTGAGCACCATCTGACTTTCTGATGTAGAGATGGAGCAGACGGAGCGAAAAGTGCGGAAGTTTCCACCGCTGATTACTCAGCAATGTACAGACTCTACAACACAAGCTCCACACATGACAGGTTCTCTTTAATCTCCATACAAATCAGTACCATGTCCTCCCTGTGCCCTCCAGGTAATGAAATCTGCTATGGAGACCTTGGCTGTTTCTCGGATGCTCTGCCCTGGTCTGGGACCACCCAGAGGCTGGTCGCTTCATTGCCCTGGACTCCAGAAAAGATCAACACCCGATTCCTCCTGCTGACCCGAGAAAACCCCGAGCGTCACCAGGTGTGTCTGTCACTCTGAATTCTGTCTGTCTATATAGCACAAAAAACTACATTACACACTTCCCACACCATATCGTACCCACATTACCACTTCCCACATTACACCCTTCCCACACCATACACTTCTCACCCCATACACTTCCCACACCATATCGTACCCGCATTACACACTTCCCACACCATATCGTACCCGCATTACACACTTCCCACACCATATCGTACCCGCATTACACACTTCCCACACCATATCGTACCCGCATTACACACTTCCCACACCATATCGTACCCGCATTACACACTTCCCACACCATATCGTACCCGCATTACACACTTCCCACACCATATCGTACCCGCATTACACACTTCCCACACCATATCGTACCCGCATTACACACTTCCCACACCATATCGTACCCGCATTACACACTTCCCACACCATATCGTACCCGCATTACACACTTCCCACACCATATCGTACCCGCATTACACACTTCCCACACCATATCGTACCCGCATTACACACTTCCCACACCATATCGTACCCGCATTACACACTTCCCACACCATATCGTACCCGCATTACACACTTCCCACACCATATCGTACCCGCATTACACACTTCCCACACCATATCGTACCCGCATTACACACTTCCCACACCATATCGTACCCGCATTACACACTTCCCACACCATATCGTACCCGCATTACACACTTCCCACACCATATCGTACCCGCATTACACACTTCCCACACCATATCGTACCCGCATTACACACTTCCCACACCATATCGTACCCGCATTACACACTTCCCACACCATATCGTACCCGCATTACACACTTCCCACACCATATCGTACCCGCATTACACACTTCCCACACCATATCGTACCCGCATTACACACTTCCCACACCATATCGTACCCGCATTACACACTTCCCACACCATATCGTACCCGCATTACACACTTCCCACACCATATCGTACCCGCATTACACACTTCCCACACCATATCGTACCCGCATTACACACTTCCCACACCATATCGTACCCGCATTACACACTTCCCACACCATATCGTACCCGCATTACACACTTCCCACACCATATCGTACCCGCATTACACACTTCCCACACCATATCGTACCCGCATTACACACTTCCCACACCATATCGTACCCGCATTACACACTTCCCACACCATATCGTACCCGCATTACACACTTCCCACACCATATCGTACCCGCATTACACACTTCCCACACCATATCGTACCCGCATTACACACTTCCCACACCATATCGTACCCGCATTACACACTTCCCACACCATATCGTACCCGCATTACACACTTCCCACACCATATCGTACCCGCATTACACACTTCCCACACCATATCGTACCCGCATTACACACTTCCCACACCATATCGTACCCGCATTACACACTTCCCACACCATATCGTACCCGCATTACACACTTCCCACACCATATCGTACCCGCATTACACACTTCCCACACCATATCGTACCCGCATTACACACTTCCCACACCATATCGTACCCGCATTACACACTTCCCACACCATATCGTACCCGCATTACACACTTCCCACACCATATCGTACCCGCATTACACACTTCCCACACCATATCGTACCCGCATTACACACTTCCCACACCATATCGTACCCGCATTACACACTTCCCACACCATATCGTACCCGCATTACACACTTCCCACACCATATCGTACCCGCATTACACACTTCCCACACCATATCGTACCCGCATTACACACTTCCCACACCATACACTTCTCACACCATACACTTAACACACCATACACTTCTCACACCATACACTTCTCACAACATACACTTCCCACACCATACACTTCTCACACCATATCGTACCCACATTACACACTTCCCACACCATACACTTCTCACACCATACACTTCCCACACCATATCGTACCCACATTACACACTTCCCACACCATACACTTCTCACACCATACACTTCTCACACCATACACTTCCCACACCATATCGTACCCACATTACACCCTTCCCACACCATACACTTCCTACATTATACACTTCTCACACAATACACTTCCCACACCATACACTTCTCACACCATACACTTCCCACACCATACACTTCGCCCACCATATCGTACCCACATTACACCCTTCCCACACAATACACTTCCCACACAATACACTTCCCACACCATACACTACCCATATTATACACTTCCCACACAATACACTTCCCACACCATACACTTCCCACACCATACAGTGTATGGCCATCTTTTAGCAGGTTGTAGTTCTCGTTTTGTACATTGTGCAGGATATCAGCGCCAGGGACATTCCCGGCCTCAGAGCTTCTTGGTTCCGGACGTCTCGGAAGACGATCTTCATTGTACACGGGATGGCTGACCGGGCGACGGATAACTGGGTGTCTGACATGTGCCACGTGAGTGTGCGGATCAGTATGACAGTCTAATACCGCTCACATCCTCATCCCTACTACTTATGGAGACCTCTGCTTGTCCTGGTGTCAAATCTTCCAATGGGGGACACCGGTTCTGGTGACAACTAATTTCAATCATCCAGGAGAGATCTCCGCTCACTTCCTGTTGGGGCTCCAAGACAGGAAGTAAAAAAAAATTGCCCAATGGGAAAAAAATTGATGGGGGTTCCGATCTTCCCAAAATTCTCCCCAAAACTACAAGACCAGACAACGGTTTCTCCCAACAATCAGGGTGGGGGAGGGGGAGGGGGGGTTCCTAATTTTCGGGTTCATGTTCCATGTGATTCCCTGACCAGGAGCTGCTGCTGGCGGAAGACGTGAACTGTATCGCGGTGGATTGGCGGCGCGGATCGGGAAACGTGTTGCTGTATGTGCAGGCCGCCAACAACGGGCGCCTCGTAGGAGCAGAGATCGCCCATTTCCTGAGGACACTGCAGGTGATTATAGGAACTCAGCCGATCAATCAATCAATCACTGAATGCGGCTGCAGGTGGGGGAGGGAAATACAATCTATTACAATGACAGGAGACGGCGATAAACTGAATCCCCATCAATACCCGAGAATGCCGGACCCCCACCCCACCCCCGAGGTCTGAGCTCCCACTGGGGACCCCAAGGACTGAGCTCCCACTGGGGACCCCCGAGGACTGAGCTCCCACTGGGGACCCCCGAGGACTGAGCTCCCACTGGGGACCCCCGAGGACTGAGCTCCCACTGGGGACCCCCGAGGACTGAGCTCCCACTGGGGACCCCCGAGGACTGAGCTCCCACTGGGGACCCCCGAGGACTGAGCTCCCACTGGGGACCCCCGAGGACTGAGCTCCCACTGGGGACCCCCGAGGACTGAGCTCCCACTGGGGACCCCCGAGGACTGAGCTCCCACTGGGGACCCCCGAGGACTGAGCTCCCACTGGGGACCCCCGAGGACTGAGCTCCCACTGGGGACCCCCGAGGACTGAGCTCCCACTGGGGACCCCCGAGGACTGAGCTCCCACTGGGGACCCCCGAGGACTGAGCTCCCACTGGGGACCCCCGAGGACTGAGCTCCCACTGGGGACCCCCGAGGACTGAGCTCCCACTGGGGACCCCCGAGGACTGAGCTCCCACTGGGGACCCCCGAGGACTGAGCTCCCACTGGGGACCCCCGAGGACTGAGCTCCCACTGGGGACCCCCGAGGACTGAGCTCCCACTGGGGACCCCCGAGGACTGAGCTCCCACTGGGGACCCCCGAGGACTGAGCTCCCACTGGGGACCCCCGAGGACTGAGCTCCCACTGGGGACCCCCGAGGACTGAGCTCCCACTGGGGACCCCCGAGGACTGAGCTCCCACTGGGGACCCCCGAGGACTGAGCTCCCACTGGGGACCCCCGAGGACTGAGCTCCCACTGGGGACCCCCGAGGACTGAGCTCCCACTGGGGACCCCCGAGGACTGAGCTCCCACTGGGGACCCCCGAGGACTGAGCTCCCACTGGGGACCCCCGAGGACTGAGCTCCCACTGGGGACCCCCGAGGACTGAGCTCCCACTGGGGACCCCCGAGGACTGAGCTCCCACTGGGGACCCCCGAGGACTGAGCTCCCACTGGGGACCCCCGAGGACTGAGCTCCCACTGGGGACCCCCGAGGACTGAGCTCCCACTGGGGACCCCCGAGGACTGAGCTCCCACTGGGGACCCCCGAGGACTGAGCTCCCACTGGGGACCCCCGAGGACTGAGCTCCCACTGGGGACCCCCGAGGACTGAGCTCCCACTGGGGACCCCCGAGGACTGAGCTCCCACTGGGGACCCCCGAGGACTGAGCTCCCACTGGGGACCCCCGAGGACTGAGCTCCCACTGGGGACCCCCGAGGACTGAGCTCCCACTGGGGACCCCCGAGGACTGAGCTCCCACTGGGGACCCCCGAGGACTGAGCTCCCACTGGGGACCCCCGAGGACTGAGCTCCCACTGGGGACCCCCGAGGACTGAGCTCCCACTGGGGACCCCCGAGGACTGAGCTCCCACTGGGGACCCCCGAGGACTGAGCTCCCACTGGGGACCCCCGAGGACTGAGCTCCCACTGGGGACCCCCGAGGACTGAGCTCCCACTGGGGACCCCCGAGGACTGAGCTCCCACTGGGGACCCCCGAGGACTGAGCTCCCACTGGGGACCCCCGAGGACTGAGCTCCCACTGGGGACCCCCGAGGACTGAGCTCCCACTGGGGACCCCCGAGGACTGAGCTCCCACTGGGGACCCCCGAGGACTGAGCTCCCACTGGGGACCCCCGAGGACTGAGCTCCCACTGGGGACCCCCCGAGGACTGAGCTCCCACTGGGGACCCCCGAGGACTGAGCTCACATTGGGGGTGACTCATGTACATTGGCGAGCTTCTCACCTCTTTATCTGCCTCCAGGTGGATCTGGATTACCCTCCATGCAACGTTCACATCATTGGACACAGTCTGGGCGCTCACATAGCCGGAGAGGCCGGGAGACGGTTTCCTGGGATTCGCAGGGTCACCGGTCTGTATAGAGCTATGATGGTGAATGTCATAAATACAGGGGGCCACATGTTGGCCCCTGACATGTCTGAAGGGCCACACAATGACATCTGTACTTCCATATAGATAACAGCTTAGTGTACCAATGTGCTGTGGATGAGTTGTAGTGCTCTGTGCTCAGATCTGCGGCAATGTGTGGAAAATGTGCGGAAAAAGTGCGGAAAATGTGCGTTACTGCAACTCGCCATTCTGAAGAATCCCAGACCCAGGAAGTCGTTTCATTTCCACATACAGAATATACATTGTACGCTTACACGCGTGTCTACATGCATGGTACGCTTACACGCGTGTCCATATACATTGTGAGGATACAATCTCTATCTTCACACATGACAAACACCCTCTGTAGGGTCCATGACCCCTAATTCTACTTCATTCCCCCCACAGAGGACGCAGAATGTATGAAGGAAGATTATTTATTGACGCATGTTGCCATAGTAACTGTGCGGCGCCATCCGCAGTCATTTCCAGCGCCGGCTAATAGGAAGTGCAGCAAAATTCTGTAACAAACGCATGGAAGGGGGCCACACCCCGCTCTGCAAGGGGATAAAGTGTATCTTCTCCCTGCAGCTCTGGACCCGGCTCGGCCGTACTTTGACGGCGTGGACAATGAAGTGCGGCTGGATTCCTCTGATGCCGGTTTTGTGGACGTCATTCACACCGACACAAGCAGGATAACCGGTATTCATAAATACATTTCCTTAGGTCTCCGGAGCCTGTGCGCGGTCTCAGGAGGCTGTGCGGGGTCTCAGGAGGGCTGTGCGGGGTCTCAGGAGGGAAAAAACCCAAGTGTCCTCTCTCCTTCCTCTGACCCCGGCCAACCCAATGTACTAGATCCGATCCCTCCCCCTACCCAAGTGTCCTCTCTCCTTCCTCTGACCCCGGCCAACACAATGTACCAGATCCGATCCCTCCCCCTACCCAAGTGTCCTCTCTCCTTCCTCTGACCCCGGCCAACCCAATGTACCAGATCCGATCCCTCCCCCTACCCAAGTGTCCTCTCTCCTTCCTCTGACACCATCTTGTGAGGAGACTTTACAGTGTGGATAATCCATACATGACGGTGACGGATAATCTGGGAGATGAGATTGTGTTGTTGCCTCATTGGGGTCATCCACCTGAGCCCGCAGTGGTGCCATCTGAACCATGTGAGGTCACCCACTCAGCACTGGCCGTCCTGCGACAGGGAGGGGCTAAACATCCGGCCAATGAGATGGTAATTGGTATTATGTTCTTTATTCCAGGAGTCGGTATAGAAAAACCAATCGGACATTTTGATTTTTACCCCAATGGAGGCAAACTCATGGCGGGGTGTCCCCACAAGGTGACGGCATTCCTGTGGAACAAGGACAGTAAGGATCGATGTTTCAGTGTACATTCACACATGGAGATCTCTGTGTATAGGGATCTGGTGTTGGAGATCTCAGTGTATAGGGATCTGGTGTTGGAGATCTCTGAGTATCGGGATCTGGTGTTGGAGATCTCAGTGTATAGGGATCTGGTGTTGGAGATCTCTGAGTATCGGGATCTGGTGTTGGAGATCTCTGAGTATCGGGATCTGGTGTTGGAGATCTCTGAGTATCAGGATCTGGTGTTGGAGATCTCAGTGTATAGTGATCTGGTGTTGGAGATCTCGGTGTATAGTGATCTGGTGTTGGAGATCTCAGTGTATAGTTATCTGGTGTTGGAGATCTTGGTGTATCAGGATCTGGTGTTGGAGATCTCGGTGTATTGGGATCTGGTGTTGGAGATCTCTGAGTATTGTGATCTGTTGTTGGAGATCTCGGTGTATTGTGATCTGGTGTTGGAGATCTCTGAGTATCGGGATCTGGTGTTGGAGATCTCTGAGTATCGGGATCTGGTGTTGGAGATCTCTGAGTATCGGGATCTGGTGTTGGAGATCTCTGAGTATCGGGATCTGTTGTTGGAGATCTATGTGTATGGTGATCTGGTGTTGGAGATCTCGGTGTATTGGGATCTGGTGTTGGAGATCTTGGTGTATCAGGATCTGGTGTTGGAGATCTCGGTGTATCGGGACCTGGTGTTGGAGATCTCGGTGTATTGTGATCTGTTGTTGGAGATCTCGGTGTATTGTGATCTGGTGTTGGAGATCTCGGTGTATAGTGATCTGGTGTTGGAGATCTCTGAGTATCGGGATCTGGTGTTGGAGATCTCTGAGTATCGGGATCTGGTGTTGGAGATCTCTGTGTATCGGGATCTGGTGTTGGAGATCTCTGTGTATCGGGATCTGGTGTTGGAGATCTCTGAGTATCGGGATCTGGTGTTGGAGATCTCTGAGTATCGGGATCTGGTGTTGGAGATCTCTGAGTATCGGGATCTGGTGTTGGAGATCTCTGAGTATCGGGATCTGGTGTTGGAGATCTCTGAGTATCGGGATCTGGTGTTGGAGATCTCTGTGTATAGGGATCTGGTGTTGGAGATCTCTGAGTATCGGGATCTGGTGTTGGAGATCTCTGAGTATCGGGATCTGGTGTTGGAGATCTCTGAGTATCGGGATCTGGTGTTGGAGATCTCTGAGTATCGGGATCTGGTGTTGGAGATCTCTGAGTATCGGGATCTGGTGTTGGAGATCTCTGAGTATCGGGATCTGGTGTTGGAGATCTCAGTGTATAGGGATCTGGTGTTGGAGATCTCTGAGTATCGGGATCTGGTGTTGGAGATCTCTGTGTATCGGGATCTGGTGTTGGAGATCTCTGAGTATCGGGATCTGGTGTTGGAGATCTCTGAGTATCGGGATCTGGTGTTGGAGATCTCTGAGTATCGGGATCTGGTGTTGGAGATCTCTGAGTATCGGGATCTGGTGTTGGAGATCTCTGAGTATCGGGATCTGTTGTTGGAGATCTATGTGTATGGTGATCTGGTGTTGGAGATCTCGGTGTATTGGGATCTGGTGTTGGAGATCTTGGTGTATCAGGATCTGGTGTTGGAGATCTCGGTGTATCGGGACCTGGTGTTGGAGATCTCGGTGTATTGTGATCTGTTGTTGGAGATCTCGGTGTATTGTGATCTGGTGTTGGAGATCTCGGTGTATAGTGATCTGGTGTTGGAGATCTCTGAGTATCGGGATCTGGTGTTGGAGATCTCTGAGTATCGGGATCTGGTGTTGGAGATCTCTGAGTATCGGGATCTGGTGTTGGAGATCTCTGAGTATCGGGATCTGGTGTTGGAGATCTCTGAGTATCGGGATCTGGTGTTGGAGATCTCTGAGTATCGGGATCTGGTGTTGGAGATCTCTGTGTATCGGGATCTGGTGTTGGAGATCTCTGAGTATCGGGATCTGGTGTTGGAGATCTCTGAGTATCGGGATCTGTTGTTGGAGATCTCTGTGTATGGTGATCTGGTGTTGGAGATCTCGGTGTATTGGGATCTGGTGTTGGAGATCTTGGTGTATCAGGATCTGGTGTTGGAGATCTCGGTGTATCGGGACCTGGTGTTGGAGATCTCGGTGTATTGTGATCTGTTGTTGGAGATCTCGGTGTATTGTGATCTGGTGTTGGAGATCTCGGTGTATAGTGATCTGGTGTTGGAGATCTCTGAGTATCGGGATCTGGTGTTGGAGATCTCTGAGTATCGGGATCTGGTGTTGGAGATCTCTGAGTATTGGGATCTGGTGTTGGAGATCTCGGTGTATCGGGATCTGGTGTTGGAGATCTCAGTGTATAGGAATCTGGTGTTGGAGATCTAGGTGTATTGGGATCTGGTGTTGGAGATCTGAGTATCGGGATCTGGGGTTGGAGATCTCTGAGTATAGGGATCTGGGGTTGGAGATCTCTGAGTATTGGGATCTGGTGTTGGAGATCTC